CCAGGAGAGCAGGTTGCTCACCCTAAACTAGGTGTTGCAGAAACCTGCAATGCCAGACAGGCAGCTGGGAGTCCAGCCACAGGTGTGGAGATCTAGGGGGCAAGGATGGTTTTCCAGAACTGCACAAAAGGTTCATTCTGTGAATCTCTGGCATGGACAGACAAATGCTTCCCACCCTCGTGGACCCAATACACCTCCCTGGAAGTGAAGGATTCCCAGGGGAGCATTTGAAGAGGGAGAAGATCTGTGGAGCAGGGACCACAGTGAACCCACTTAGCCTTGTCCCATCTCACATGCACATCACTGATGGCAAATAAAGTTCTAGGTTCTCACAGGGCCAAAAAAATAACAGTTCAGGGACTGAGCTGCTATTGGAGCATTCTGAGTGGCTTTTCTCATTCTTTTTTCACTTTTCTGTTTGGTTTTTTCCTCTTCATTTTTCTGCAACATAGAAAGCAAGGAGCAGTAAAAGAAGGGAGGCAGGTGAAGAGAAAATGATGCAGACAAATGACTTTTATGTGCCTATGAGGAGAATCTGGAAGTACGACTGGAAGTTGTGTGAATATCAGTTTCCATTAGTGGACAAACATGCAGAGCAATACATTTACCACCTTTAACACCAGCCTGGTCTGAATCATCTGTTCCACTCACTCACTTGTCATGCACCACTTTGGCAACCAGCAAGTCAGAGTCAAGGTCCTAAGCTTGAGCACAGCATGTCTTGTGGCAATATATTCTCCTCTCTCCGCCACTGGGATCCATTGTGCTCTTCATCTTCTCATCACTGAACATGAACTCTGTTATCAGCCACTCCAAACACCACTTCAGGACACTTTCTGTTGTTAATCATTATTTTTAACCTGCTTTTCTTAATTTTAACTTCAGTCCTGTGTAAGTGCTAGCACAGTGGAGGTATCAAGCTAGCCCATTTCCATGCCCAGAGCCCTTGGATGAATCTCCTGACTCAGCTCTTGACATGTCCTGGACCTTGCCATGCCAGTGCACCACCAGCCCCTGTGGTGGGAGCAGGATCCATCGGTGCCCTGTCCTCCTCCAAAGACAGGATCATGTGGCAGCAGGTCGTGGCACTTGGACAATCTTGTGAGCAGCAGCAGTGCTAGGACTGGGGCCACCTGTGACATGAAGATGTGAGATGCAGCTGTCAAAGGCTTTTGATCAGTGGAGGGGTTTAAAAAAAAAAAAAAGAAGAACAAAAAAGATGACTAGGACAAAAGCGTGGAAAATGTAAACTTGTAATATGTATTTTTACTACACTTTTCTTAAAAATAGAGTAATGGTAAAACTCTTAAAGACATTGACATTTTTTCTCAGCAGGATTCCATATTTAACAGTTTTGGCTTTCATTAAATTTTGCTCTTTGGTACCTGGATCTTTTATTTAACAGCTATATTTGTTTTAACTCTCTTGGTTTTGTTTTCTTTCTTTGATTTTTTTTCGTTTGGCAGTACCGCAAAGGATTTTACTTTACCAAATGCAACAGTGTTTTCTTTTCACATTCTGTTTTTTTCAAGCAACATTTTTATGGTAATTATTATTTACACAAAAGTGAAACTATCAGCTGGAATTTTAGCACCAAGGATCCATGATCCATTTTTCATACCTGTCCATGCCGTTTTGTGCCAGTGCTGGATGTGTGGAAATGAAAATGATGTTACCCCTCAGGCAATATTACCCAACCTGAATCAAAAGAAACTTCTTTGATTATTGCTGTGTCTGACTTGTGAACAGCAGCCAAATAAACTGCTTCAGGTTGAAATTGGGAATCTATCTAATATTTACCCAAGAGTCAGGAAACTAAATATTCATTGGGTTCAAAATTAATGATTTTGCTTCCTTTGGAGTTTTTGTGGGGTTATTTTTTTGAGGAGGGCTAGTAGAGGATTTTAGCTTGTTTTTACAGAGAGAGAAGACATGATCAGCTCAGAGATAACTCAGAACCAGCACTGGTCCAAAAATTCTTACCAGGATCAGATTTCCTAGGAGTTCTCATGCTGTTTCAGGGGCTTGGACATTTAAGATGTTTCTCACTCGGTTTTCATATGATTAACCTCCTAAATACCTCATCCAAAAGATGGTTGAGAGGGAAAAAGAGTAGGATTTAAAGGGCCTTGGACATTTATGCAGATGCTGAAAGCTGCTGAGGCAAATTGTACTCATTAATGTCATGCTCTTGGTGTCATGGGTCTGGAACATCTTCCATTCCCATATTCTCATTCCCATTTATCAGCTGGGAAAGCTGAGACACAGAAGTGCCTTTTGAACAGTCATCCCAGCTCACCCCACAGGACCATGCTTAGAGATTAAAGATCTCCAGCATTCACAAGTGTGGTTTTTTTTTACCCACTGGTAAGTTTTAAATATAGAATCAGCAAGGGACAGAATTAATATGTTCTGAAAGGGTCAGTGAACCCTCAGGCTTTAAAGCACAAGAGATTCCCAAGCAATGAGGCCTGAAGGAGAGGTTTCTCATGCACAGGCTATGCTGGATCAGCCCATTTTGGTCTTCCACAGTTCCCTGAGCATCCAGTACTGTGTTGGATCGTGTCTCAAACTGTCCTTCTTGCTCAGTGGTTGATTCCTAGTGAAGCTGCAGAAATTTACAAGGAATGTTCCCTTTTATCTTGGCATAAACAGGAGAAAATTCCCTCACATAGGCAAAAGCAAATATTCCTTGTAATAAAGTCTCCAGCAAGGATCTTCAGCAGCTGTTGAAGCAAAAAAACCAAACCAGTGAACCTTGAAGTGCAGCAGGTGAGGAACTGATGCATCGCCAGTCCATTCCTTAGGGATCAGGACACAGATCTGGGATGCTCCAGAAGGATTTGGCTGGGGTTGTTTGTGCATGTGCCTCCCTGTCACCAAATGCAAGGAGAACTTTCTCATCTAAATTCAGTAAAGGCACAGGGGGTGCATCAATGTTTCCTGTAACCCAGTGGGTACCACTGACCAGCTCAGCTCCAGCAACTCAGACCCATATCTCTAAAGTTTGGGGAGGCATGGGGAAGTTTTCACTGTGGACACAGGCTCCTGCTCAGTTTTCAATGACATGATCAGTCACCCAAGTATCACACACAGCTCTGGGATCCCAGGAAAACATTTCTGTGCACATCGCTACTTAAAATATCCACCACAGAGGCACATGTTAAATCTTAGCTGACCCATCACAGTGGCATGTAGTTCCCTTAGGACACTGCTGGTACTCTTCACTGCCATGGCAAAAGAAATAACAGCAAAGACTGGGGCTTACCCAGGAGAGGTTGCCCTGAAGCACCACCTTGGGAGGAGATAGGTTTTCCCCAGCAAAGGTACCAACTTAACCCCCAGTACCTTCTGGAGACCTGTGTGGCCTGTCCTCTGATGACTTTTGTAGCTGCTGACCTCTCTTAAACACAGATTTCCCAGTTGCCTTCATGTTACGTATGAGCACAAATTGATTTGTCATCCACCAGTGCTGGTTTTGTGTCTTGGCAGCTCACTGCTGGCTGAAGCCCCCATGTTCTCATCTCTGCTACACAAATACAGAGATGTCAAGCTGTCCACAAGCCTGCAGGAGGGCAGGGGTTTGGGGCTGAAATCCACATGCAAACCCCAGCTCAAAGAATGCAAGACAGTGCCAGACACAACTGTTTGGGTTCCATGTTGCTCCAGCTTCATTACAAAGATGATCCCCCTTCCAGCCTTCTTCTTACACAGAGCTGCTCTGGTTTTCTCCATCCACTTGGTCCTGATGGTTTGAGTGTATGAGGAATTAATTTAGTGTGCAAGGACCTGGAAATCGTTCTCCTAGGCATGGAGGGGTTGCTCAAGACTGATGTCTCCATAAAAATCCTGACCATTCTCACTCTGGGATTCTCCTCTCAGCATCACCTTCCATTTCCCTTCTATCCACCCCCATCCTCCATCTATACATCAATCCCACCCTCAGCATTGCCAGCTTCTCTTCTCCACGACCTGGAACAGGCTCTGGGTT